CACAACTGTCCACTTGAAGCGGACGACCTGAACAATAACGGAACAGTACCATCAGCAGCGATCAGTCATCTGAAAGACCAGCTAGTTTGCATTTTGTTTAAATGAATAACAAAATATTTACCTCATTTCCTTGAGTGCTGGCGCATAAACCTGTGGAAAGTATCCTTAATATTAATATGAAAACGTATTGGATTCTGAACCCATTCATGGTTTATGGGACAAGACAACGCAGATATCAACACCTAATTTCCGGCACGTCTCGCTATGCAGTCTTTGCATCGTTGAGACGTAATTGATGTGGCACACTTCAGGCCGGCTTACACCACACACATACACACAATACATGTTAATTTAAAGCGTGGCAGGTTAATAACAGTTATTCATCATCATACACATAACACTAAAATTTAGGTGTTAAAGTCCACCGCCGATTACGCCATTTGTAACTTTCTTATCATGTTCATGAGAACACCGTAAATTTCACGTATCACCACGGATGAGGAGTATTCATTTCACATACGATGTTTCGTCGCTAAAGTATGCAGGGATTGCTTTACCATTCCTTGACTGGTCCTTTAAATTACAGAAACATTTTTCTGGTTGAAAGAGTGTTCCTCTAGAAAAGGCCTATTGTGCAGCATCGAAGTAATCAGTCTGCTTGCCCGAGTCAGACTGCAGGTAAACGTTCTTTAATTCAGATTTTTTTATTGCGGATTGATCTTTGAAACGTGTATTTTATCACAGTCTTTGCACTCAATGCCTTCCGCGGGTTCGAGGGTATACTTCTTGCCATTCCGAGATTCTTGCCGATCTTGTATTAGATCCTAAACCGGATTTCGTTGACTCCTCTTCTGAGTGGCTCATATGTACATGTTATTCATAGCAAAATTACCATAGGTATGTTTTGATAAGGATTCATCTAGTTTCAACTAGTTTGCAAAAGTTTAATGTCCAGTTCCCCTTGAATAACCATTCTACAAGAATATGCGGTGAAATTGTCGAATTTCAGCATCTATGGCAGAAGAGGTGTTGCCACGCGTTAACTCATCTTCTTCGCTGTGTTTTGAAAGGCACAAATGAAGTACTAGACGTCTTTAATATATGATGATTATGACTTAACTGCTTGTTACTAGTGAGCTACATAGTTTGACACTGAGTCATGATAACTTTTTCTTTTCAGACGTGAACGAATGCCTTGTGGACAATGGTGGCTGTCATCACGACTGCAGTAACACGATCGGCACCTATTACTGTCGCTGCTGGCCCGGTTTTCAGCTGGCCAGTAACGGAAAGACATGCATTGGTACGTACAGTGCGTATTTCATGGGTTCATAAGAAACTGACCGTGATCGGCTACTCACTACTGACCCTCTGACCCTTGACTTGTGTCTTGTGCACCTTCTTGCTCTTGCTAGTCACGAAGAGCTCTTTTACGACGTACACCTGTAACAGGTTTTAACGAGTTTCTCCCATAACTAAAACACTGCAGACGCTTAAAGCCGAACATTAAATGCCGGTAAACCGTTTGTGGGGCTTCGGTTATAAACGCCACTTCGCATCACCCAGGGCTCGCCGTGGCGGCTGGTGGTTGACGACCCGAAAGTGGCGGCCTACGTGCACTTGACCCACAAGGAGTTTATGATCGTCGCCGCATTATGACCGAAACTTGTTGTTTTTTTAGACGTCGACGAATGTGACACTCAGAATGGAGGCTGCGAACACCGCTGCGTAAATTACGAGGGAGGATTCCGCTGCGAATGCCCCGCCAACAGTCAGCTGCACTTCGACGGCCGCCGATGCATAAGTAAGTAGCGTCAAGTACCGTCGTTAACGATCATTATGGCGGACAAACCGTTGTGTGGCCTGCCAGACCTGGATAAGTCAATACGTGTATAAGGGAGGTTGGGGACACCGTTCCGCAGAAGACCCGTGTACAACCACATTGGCCGTCTACATACCTTTCCCGATCATTTTCAGAGCAGAGCCCTTGCTGAACGATTTTAAAGCCTAGTAACAAAATGATCAGAAATGTCTGACTTACCGTGATTGAAATATTACGAGGCATAACTCTAACAGCACCGCCCCTTGCGTTGGATGACTAGGCGGTCCTTTGAACGGGCTTCGGCTCTACTGCACTTCAACACTCGCATTAGATAATTTAATCGTTTTATTCGCTAGGGCAGTACATATTATGATTAAAGCATCAACATGACCACGCAGAGTAAATTAGTCATTTAGTTTTCGACATTTACTAATGCTATGTAGAAAGATGCTTCTTCCTGCTTTAAGCACTCCCATATATACGGCGTACAACAGCAACATAATTATTATGCAATACCTATAGAAAATGAGAGACGACGC